GCATGTAAATCCCCAGTTTTACCAATCAAACTGTAAAAGTACAAATGACTTTCCATTAAATTAGCCTGTAAAAAAATCCCAAGTTCCCTGCCAGGGGAAGTTCCAAAAAAAATCCATATTTAGAATTACTATTTAACCCAGTACAAAACATGAACTCTGCAGCTTGCAGGTCTAACGAGTGTCAAGACCGAGGAAAACTATAAACTTTCAGGCTTCTCACAACCTGTATTTGTATTACTGGAGTTTCACATAATGTATAGGAAAAAGTTTAGAAAATGTACCACATTTAAAAACATTTATCATAAAAAAAATGCAAGCTTTGCAACTACATAAGAAACATAAACCAATGTAATCTCTTAGATCTGGGCACACCACAGACCATTTTAAAGAGAAAAGTTCAGCAACAAAAGTCATCTGTTTCTCTTTGTAGAAACAGACTACAGCTGTTCTCTTTGCAGTTTTTTTTTAGCTTTAAAAAAAAGGAGTACTACCATGATATTCAATAATTTGTCTTTCATGTTTCTTATTCACAGACCCAGTAACATTGCTTCCAAATATCTGAAGTTCAAGGGTACTTAGCCTCTTCAAATGACTTTGTAAAGAATAGAAATAAATAAGTCATATGCTACCCCTAGTAATTCTCCTCCATTAGGCAGTCTGTAACAGGGAAGCAAACATCCTTCCTTTCTGCATTCAGGATTTTCCAGTGTTTTTAATAACCAAGTTACTTAGAAAATCCTGGCCTTCAGAAACAATGCTTAATTCCTTCAGTTCTGGCCTTAAAATGATTCTATCACAGACCTAGTTGATAAAAATGCTAATTAGTGGTACCCAAGTGTAAATATAAAGGGAAGCATCCTTTACAGCTTGCTTTTAAACTCCGGTGAACTCTCGGAACTAACCCAACAGCAGGGACTATCTCAAGCAGAATATCGCTGGGTGGGAAGAATTTCAGCCAAAATGTTTAATTGAGTTTATTTCCAAGGAAGAGGCCAAGTGGGGGAGGGGAAGCTGTTTTGCTTGTATTAAAGAATTCTGGCAACCTCTTGTTCTAACAGCTCTAGTTCTTCTGCACTTCAGAGCAGGGACTTGAAGGTTGGCGGGGGGGTGACTGCATACACTTCATGCATTCTGTCATTTCCCTGCAAACCCACCCAAATTTGGCCTTGTTGGAAGTCTTTTGGGCTGGAATGGGAGGGAAAGAAGGGAGAAAATATCTCCTGACCTCATATAAACTGTGCTCTGTTAGGAAACAGCAGGCTGGACACCCAGAGAGACTCATACTTTCAACAACTGCAGTTTGAAAGGCGTAGATGTCTGTACAGGCTACAGCTATGCCAGAGGACAAAGCCACTGTCTCCAACCTGTGCCCAAACATTCAAATCACTTTCTTTACTCTCAATGAGCCTGCTCTTGTAAGAGCTCCCTAACCTACTATTTCTGGTGAGATTAAACAACTTACTTTTAGCCAGCCTGGCTATTTGTGGCTGAAATGCATTGAAGAGACCTTATAGAAGCAGTTCAGCCAAAGAGGGTGCCCCAAACCTTGGACAGAATCATAGAATGCCACAGTTTGTGACAAGTCCAAGTGCTAAGATTTAGCTTGAGTTAAAGCACATATTCTCCAACACACTCAAAAAACCCCAGCACTTTTTGGGCCTAATAGGGAAGAAACTGTTATGAAGCAAGAAAAAAGCAGGAATGGAAGAGATTAGGGGAGCCTGTGGTGGGGAAAACTGCCAAGGAAGACACTGACACTGGTCAGAGGGCAGGTCTGGAGAAATTGCACACAGATGGTGGGCATCAGAATGCAAGAGTGAAAACTTGGGAATGCAACTTAGGTTCTTGAGTCTTACCAGCTGACTATGCTAAGGGGCTGGTCATGCTGTCTCAATATTTTATGGAGCTTTGTTTGCAATATTGTATGAATATGAAAGGATGTATTTGTTGACACCAGTAAACAAATTGTTTAGAAAACTGATTCCCACAAATTATCCCAGATAAATTGCCAGGAAGCATCTGGCAGAGTTTGACAAAGCAAAATAAGTAGCTCCCAAACTCTTGGGGTACAGAAATAAGCACAACTTCTTTTTCATAAGCCAGCATGTGTACTTATGAGGTTTTTTTTTGGTGCCTTCAGGGTGTATTTGGTGGCTGAGAAGCAAGACTTCATCTTTTGAAGGTAGTTCCAGTTGCTGCAGGGTCAAGCTACGGTAGGAAGAACACTGCTCTTGTTGTTTTGGTTTCCTCAATAATAATTTGAAACAAAGTTAAAGGGTCACTGAAAAGCTGTGTGCACTTGAGACATATGAGACTGCACATAGAACCATCATCAAATCCAGAAGGTAAATTTGCTACTTTAAAAGTACATTCTCTCCTTAACAGGAAAAGGCACCTTTTCCTCAACTGGGAATTATCTCTGGTGCTTACATTAGGATCCATGCCCTCAGGAAGGTCATCTGTAAGTTACACAGAGGTGCAAATGTGCTTTGTCCTGCACCTTTCCTTTTTAAAGCGCAACAAATACTACATTTGGATCCTTTTGCAAGTGGAGGGGGAGATAGAAAGGGGTACCTCCTTTACTCTGGGAAAGATGACTCACATGCACTGGAGAAGTACTTGGTTTGGAAGGCTTTACAAACACAGCTTCACCTAAAGACAAGGTGTTCCCCCCACCCTGCCATGCTCACTGTTAGATCAGTGAAAGTTTGAAAAAAAAAAAAATTTAAAATGCTGCTACTGATAGTATTCAGAACACCTAGAAATGATACCAAAACCTCCCAAAAGTTCCCAACTCTCTCTTTAGTATCAAGGACTGCTTGCAAGGAAGAGAGGGGACTAAAACTGGAATGATTTTCATCTTTCCACACCACTATGCACTTTTCCAGTGCGCTCATCTCTTACCATAGCTTTTTGGCATTCGACCCATTTTAATGGCCCTGAAAGTACCACTTGTGCTTACTGAGGTAGGAAAGACTGAGTACAAATATGCCCAAAGTTAAACCACAACAGATGTGAGCTTCCCAACAGAATGAAGAATCAGGCTGCAGAGTTACCCTTGGCTACTTAGGCCTCCAGCTCCCAGGGTGCCTAATCCTGACTCCAAGATACCCTCAAGCTGAAATCCACATCTGAACTCTGGAGCTTCTCTCTACCAGAGTGCCAAATATGCAGATCCCAACACACAACAGTGAAAGCTGCAGTATGGCTTTTGGAGCACCCTCAGTGGCCGGTGCCATAGGAAACTATTAATTCACCTCGACTCTGCTGCCTGTTGACTATCCCGCCCAGCGTCCATCGCCGGTCCAGGCGTCTCAGGTGAGCCTTGCGTCGCTTAGAAACTAGTTTGGAACATGGATGGAGACAAAACAAAGGAAAAAAAAAAAAGAAGAAAAAAAATGGAGGGATGAGGAATAAAAACAAAACATGGCATTAACAAGCACTGGTCTTGTTAGTGGAAATGGATTAGGCAGGATGCAGATGTTTTTAGTTTATACAGTACAGTGGAACAAGTTATCTTCTTGAGCCTGAGTAACATGAACCATGCAGAACTGTAACAAATTGCAACTCTTGCTATTGGCTTTTCTCAAAAACGAAGCCCAGAAAACCCAAAAACCATATACACCCCGCAAAACAACTATACAACTTGTCCAAGGAGGGTGCAGTGGCAGTTGCATCTCCTAATTTGGCTGTATTATCTCTGGGGAATTCACTCTATTGCATACAACATCAAATCCAACAGGGTTCTAATCCTCTCTAAGCAAAATCATCACACCATAAACAAATTCAAAAAAAAGAAAAAAAAGCTTTTCTTACGTGAGTTCCCTTATAACAGCAGCACTCAGGAATGGAACCCAAGGGAAAAGTGTCTGATGTCACCTTGCTTGCAAGACGTGACTCGCAATCACTGCCACAGCTAATTCTTATGATTAAAACTTCTAATATACAGATTACAAATGTGAGGAAAATCCTAACCTTGTAATTATCAAGCAGGCTCAAGAAGCTAACAAGCCAGGACTGAGTATTAGCTACACACTGAAACAATAATTTATGCTTAAACTATAAACAAAGATGAAACACTTATGGAAATGGCATTGTGAGAGCAGCTGTGCACAGAGGACACCACTTGTTTTCTGGACTGCATACTTAGATCTGTACTCAGTTCCTTCTTCTGCCTGTACAGGACCCATTGGACTGGCACAGAGACATAGACAAACACTTCTGGTTTTCCACTCAAGGGCTTCCATGCTAATTTGGCAACTACTGCAGGGGTGCTTGATGCTGCCACAAAGCAATGCAAAATATTGCACATCAGCAACAGCTGAAGTCCAAACACAATCATTTTACTAGTGATGCTGGGAAGCTGTTCATAAATTCTGATATCACATCATTAATTATCACTCAATTCTTCTTATGTGCAATTATTTAGGGAATATACCGTTACACTGGAGTAGAACCCTAGTCTTCTAAACACCATTGTGTAAAATGTTTGCCCCCATTTTTCTTAATTGTCTCATCATGGAGTAGACACCATTGTCTTCTAGAACTATGTTCTGTCTTCTAGAACTATGTTCTGTAGACACTCAGCCACAGCAAAATTGATTGGGGAGTCATTAGCTGAACAAAAAAAAAAAAAAACAACCGAAAATCAACCAAACAAAAAAACCCCAAACTTTACCAAAAAGTGGCTTTTGACTTTCTGTCCTTTATCAGGGGATAAGCCCCTCTGTCAGGGGCTTAGACAGACTTCTGCACCCAGCTCACTCTCCTCAATTTCTCGTCTTTGCTGTAAGGCCTAAACCTCTCCATGTCACTCTAAGCAGAGGTGCAGTGTTGAACAGACACAATATCTAGTTTGTGTACTCTGTACTTCCCCTTTAGTCCTATGTTGTCAAAAAACAACCACAAATTTTCAGAGGAGCTGAATATCAAGTTCATAGATTGCTGTGGTTTTGGCTAATGGAAATCGGTGATCCTCTCGGAAGCCCATGGTGGGACAGAAGATGAGAGGGTTTAACCTGGTGACTTTCTCCAAATCAACAGGACGTTAGACTGCCAGTTACACACATTCTACACAAGAGGCAACACAGGGCACCTCACTAGACACACAGATTATAGCAGAGAGAGAAGTTAACTTCACAGTAAGGCTGCCTGCAGTAGGAGATTTCTGAACAAGAAAGGAGGAGATGAAAGATATTGAACATGAAAGCTTGCAGAAAAGAGGGGTCCAGAAGGTGTAGAAACTAGCTGCAGGTGTCAGCACAGAGCAGTCACCTCGCTAATTGCTCACACTGGGACTTTGGAGGATTTGGTCATCCAGGAGCACCCCTTAAAAACAGTGGGTCACACAGATCCACCACACTGTGTCCTCATAACAGCCAGCCTCCCCAGTGACAGCCCTCATATCACAATGATGCTTTTGTACAAGTCAGAGTTTTTTACTCCTCAATGATATTGAATTTTGCCATTTGATCCCAGACTTAGACTTGGTTGGTCATGCCACAGTTAGTCACCAAAAAGGTTGTTTATCAACAAGTGTCTAAACCTTTCCAGAGAGTATTTTAACATGTTTACTTTATCAGCTCCTGTAGCTGCTGAATGTTTCTTTAGATTGCTTTCTGAATGTTTTCCAACCCTTGCAAGATGGTGTTGGTCTAAACACTGGCCCAGGTAGCAGTCAGCTGTCTGCCTTCATCCTGACAAAAGATGTTGTGCAGGCTCAGATGCAGGGAGGAAACACTTCTGTCTTTCTCAGGGAACAGATTATTTAAACAGAGACATATGAAAATATTACTGCTATGTAGAGGCAGAATTATTAATAATCTGTGTTCAGCACCTCCTTATCTGTACAAGCGCCTGCCACAGCAGAGCAGAATTCTGGGTCTGCCTGGATTGTGGTCTTGTTCTAGGCCCGCCTGTGCAAACGGGAAGGACAGAAAGCTCCCACATGAGTGTTTCTGCCCTTTCAAAGTCACTCTGAAACTTGTATGAACTCTAAATTTAGGGGTTAGGGCACTTAATCCACTTAAAGTGCCTTCCTCCTCAGTTATATCAGAGCCCGCTTCTCCTGCCTACTGAGAGAGAGCTGGCAAGTTTTCTGTCTAAGTAGGTTCACTTTTATACACTTTCTTAAAGAGAGTGAACCTGAGTCATTCTTTCCTCACTTACGAAACAATTATATGGAGAAGAATAGCCCAAGCAAAGAACTGGAGGGGGAAAAACAACAAACACAAGAAGTCTCAGTTTATATGGTTAATAACATAAACCAAAGTTACTGCAAAGCAAGCAAAACCTGAGGCACATCAAGGCAGCTGTGGAGGTAATGCAATTAGATTTGTCACTGAGGTGGAACTGAACAGAAAGGGAAGAACAGTCTCGGGTTTCAGCATATCTGGATTTGGAGTAAGGCAGGGAGCAGGACTGCTGACCACAGTTGAAGAGAGCAGTGTAACGGATTAAAAGAGACCGAGAGGAAAGAGATAAGGAACATTTGATGAATTTGCCACTACCCAGGATAGACTGCTCTGTGGCAACATCCCTGTGCAGAGTACACTCCAGAGGGCAACACAAAAGGTGAAGGAGAGCTTGAAATAAAAGCAGTTTAAGCAATAAAGCTGTCAAGCATACACCTTGTTTAAGAGTCAGGAAAAGGGAGGAAGCTACAGACTAACAGATGAGGCATTCTTCAATGCTTGCAGAGGAGAGCAGCAAGTTTTTGTTCTTTACTAACAAGGAAACTTTACTAACTGCTTTTGCATCCGCTGAGATGTTGCATCATACCAGACTGGTTCCTGGCCTACCAGTCTACAGCCAGTCTGTCTCTAAACCCTAAGTGACCCAGGATATGGGTAGATTTGAGCAGGGAAAAATGAGTTACAGAGAAAGAGATTTCAATAAGCCACAGATGTCACCCCTGGGGCCCAGCACAGTTATGTTTTGCCTGTGTGCTCTCTTAATGGGCAGATGGTCACCCCAACACATCTCTAAGCCTTCTGCCTGTGCTAAGGAAAGGTCAGCTGAGTTTCCACATACATTTTACATAAGTGTAACGTTAAGAGCACCTAGATTTAGCAAGACATTCATCAGAATAGAGTAAATAATAATATAAGTGTCCTTTGTACACAGTTGCTACATGAGAATTCCGTTAAGATGTGGTTAGTCTTTCATAATGGAACTAAGGAATATGTGAGGCTGTACTATTCCATCTCTGGAACCTGAATTAAGCATATTTAGTAAAAAGGAAAAAAAAAGGCAGTGCAGCTAAATACATATCATGACAAATGGCATCTCACTTTTAACAGAATGAGACCACACCAAATAAAATTACCTTTCCACACAACCACAGACCACAGCAAACAGCAGTAAAACTAGTTTCAAAGATTAATTAAAAAAAAAAAGTTACGAGAAGGAACAATTGAAGTTAAATCTCACTCCTTTCAATGGTCTGTGGCTCTATCATGCATCTTCTTCCAATTAGAAGCTCTCGCTTGTGTAATTTCTGCAAACAAGCCATGCAAGTTCTCTCCTTCCATGGTCACTACCAGAACAAACTGCTTGGACTTGCAAATAAGTTGTTTGCCTACTTTTTAAGGGTATTATAATGAGCATCATTTCATCTTTTGAACCTTTCGTCACATTCATTGTCCAAGCTGGTCACAAAGAGATTACAGACATAATACTTCACTCCAATTTCTTCTGCAACAATTTATTTACTGATACAAGATGGGAGAAGAGGTTACTGCACTGGATTAACAGCCCTAAGTGGCAGCAAGAGTTTTCCAGGTTTTCCTCTGAGAGAAAAAAGCATAGAGCAAGTGAATACCTATTTCTCCTTGATAACAAAAAGCTTTCCATACCTTCCCCAAATTTAGATGTGTTGATGTCAGAGTCATCTCTGGTTCCATTCTGGGATTCCAGGTATGTAGCAGGGACCCATCCCTGCTCCTCTGCTGTGCTCACAAACCACCAACCTACAAAAAGAAATTAAAGAAGTCAACATTAAGAGGAGCAAGAATTGCTACCAAGAAGATGGCAGTGTCAGCAGCTTCAGTGCAGGTTTGAGTTATTCCGCAGCTTCCTAGAATGAGAAGGGGTTTAGTCCTATTGTACCATTTCTATCAGATACTCTCCCAGTGGTAAAAAACGGGTGCAACGGAGCAAATGACAATTTATTTTAAGAAACTCAAAGTCCAACCACAACAACTTTGATTCAAGTTCTGTAATTCAGTTTTTCCAAGCTGGTCTTGCCACATGTACACGTACATCTACAGTATCAAAACACTTCGTATGTGAATATATGTATGTGTGAACGTACCTGAAACAGCACAAATGCTGCCCAAATCCTAATACGAAGCATTACAGAAGTCAAATGATGGAAATAGGAAACACTTTAGTAGAAGGGCAGAGATTGCAGAATAGGATACAAAAGTGCTTCAAGAGCACTTGTAACCACAGCTGGTGTTTAAAAAACATGACCTGAATTCAATGCCTTGGGAAGCTGGAAAGTACTGCACAGAACAGAAATAGGAGAGAAAAAGTTAACTGAAATGTGACTTCAGGTAATGAGTGCCAGTTATTTGTCTTCCCACCTGAACATCCAAATTTTTACCACTATCTATAAAAACGTTAAGTATTCACCAGCTATAGGGATATAACCTTTCAGTCATATCTGTGGATGGATGAATAAAATTATAGGCAAACCAACTTCAGACTAAATACATTCCAACCACAACTATCCTTGCCTCTTTTCTTGCTTGGCTACACTGATTTATGGAATCCTCTGCTACTTTTGATGTAGACTCACTCAGCCAAGAACTTCCTGCTCTCAGGTATGAACACAACTAGATTCTCCTCCATTCAGACAAGGTCCAGGTTAAGATAACAGGACAATAAAAAGTCTAACAGGTAAGCAAACCACTTCTGTTGTTTTCTGTAATCTCCCAGTTTCCCTCCAAAAACACAAGCTGCTTTGTCAGGACAATGCAAACTTTTGTCCAATACCAACCTTCCAGACTCCCCAAAGGGAGTTGGGAAAACAGCTATTTCTGTACATGCACCTCAAAACATGTACTTTAATGGCTGTCACAAACACACCAAATTTCACAGAAGACTCCCAAGCCTGCCTGTGATAAGCAAAGGCACCATCTTGGTCTGTGAATAGATGGGCATGAACACTGGTTAGTTTATGGAGGGGCAAAGCCCTGAGCTGGGTGAGAGCCACACAGCTCTCCCACAGCTGGGATGCCACAGCCTGAGCCCAGCGAGGGGGAAAAGAAGGTCCTGGGCTGGGCTCTGCTGCCATGCCACATGCAACTGTCTTTAAAGAAAAAAACCACCCTCCTGAAACAATGCTCAAGTGTTCATGCTAAAAGTCACCCAAGTTCATGCCAAATCCTGTCATGGAAGATTTTACCAGAGAACAGTAGTTACAAACCCTGTTTTGCTCCCTGGGGCATGTGGGTGGGAGATAATGTGCCCCAAACAATAACCCCTCACTTGCCTCCGTGCAGCTCCTAGGCAGCTCTATTTATTTACTCTCCAAACTCAGACATGGATTTCCATCTTCTGGCCCAGCAGAGGTTTGGAAACTTTGCTTCACAAGGCTCATGGTTGGAAAGTTTAAATTTAGTTATTCTCCCTCAGCAGGAGGTGGATTCTCCTGCCACGAAGCCCACAGCAGCGAACATGCAGGATCTGCCAGACCGTTTCAAAAACACGTCTTCGTGGTTGTTCCTTATTTCACTACTAACGTATCAACATGGGTAGCAAACACAGTTTAACATACATTTATAATTAGGCACAAAATGTGAGAAGCTGGCTTTCAGCTGATATCAATTAGCCTGGAATAGTTTACGTAAACTCTTCCTCAGAAAGAAATTAAGCAAAATCGCAGAAAAGACTTGCCTAACTTAAAAAATGTACCTTTGGGCCAAATTCAAACCATGGTAAAAACTTCTTCGGAGAGCTGGATCACACTTGCTTGACGCCAACCCAGTGCTAGCCCATTTCACAATACAGCTCCTCTGGTTTGGCTCCTTGAGCTGCACAGTGGCCTCAGAGCCGAGTTTAGGTCTTGTGTTTGGGGCCACAGAGTAGCTGAGCCTCCATCCAAAAGGGCTCCCTGCCCAGAGAATACCCCTCGCCCTCATGCCTAGGTATGCACTTGGACATATGCCTCCCTCACATCACCATGCCTCCCTACTGCCATTCCTAGCTCCTGAAAGCCCTCTGCAAGGAAAACTCATGACTCTGATCTTGTGAACAGGCTCCAGTGTAACAGCTGGAGATCAAGTCACATTTGAGCTACGTTACAGACAAGTAATTCAACCAAATCCAGCGCCATGTGCAGACAGAACATAAGAGTCCAGCTGAGGTTTTGAGCTGCTTTGATTCTTTAAGCAATGACTAAGGCTAAAGCTTCTAATCACCACAGAACTCACGAAAGTTATCATTTCTTTCTAAAGGTTTCCTTTATAAACTCTGTGCAAGGATAAAGCATAAATGAGAGATCTCCACAACTACTGAGAAATCAGCAGCATCTGTCCAAGTTCAGGAAAAAACAGCCCCAACTCTGAAATTCTCTTCTCCCATTTCAAGCTTGTTTCTCAAAAAGACAAAAGAAAAGCTTTAATGTAGCTCGTTGAAATAGTACATCTACAGAAAAAAGGTGTGTTTTACTTAAACAACCCAAACAACTGAGAAGACTGAGAAACTTTCAGCAACACGCCCTGGCAACAGAGAAGTCACAAATGGATACTCACAAGCAAGATGTACAAGGTCTTAGAGCAGCCGAGCAGACACTGCAAAGGCAGCACACCCCTTATGAGACCAAAACCTGAATTATGATGGCACATCCAAGCCATAACCTTCCAGAAAGGAAACTACAGCACATTGCAAGAATTGACTCCTAGCAGAAAATGGCAGCAGTGCAGACAAGTTCCTCAACACAGCCCCTGCATGGCATCTACAAACTGCAGAACTCTGCCCAGCTGATCATGAAGTACTTGTTCTGTGCCATCCTCTCATTAGAAGCTTTGGGCAGCTGCCATTTGGTACCACCACCCCTTCCCCCCCCACACCCAGGTTCATAGGTGTTCATGATTTGCAGACAAATTAGCCAGATTGGTCTTAGTTTGCGCCATTATAGCCCTGGCTTCCTGCAAACAATCTCTTGTCCCCTCCCCGGCCATCTTTCCCAACCCAGAGCATCATAGAAATATTGTTAGAAAACTTGCTTTTGAAACACAGAACAAAACTGCATTTATTTTGAGTTCTCCCTCTATGCTGGAGTTGAGCTTGACTTCACAATTCATTATTAAAACCATTCTGCAGCAACATCTGCAGGGAATTATGTAAAGTTATCTCTGTGCACTGCCAAGCCAGTCTGAGGTTCTCTCTTGCACTCACACCATCTGTAAAAATTAGGCAGCGCTTTACAGCTTGAGTTAACCCTTACAGATGCCCCTGTCTCTCAGGCATCAAAACACAACTCTAAAGGTGATGTGGCATGGATATTTAGACTGAGACTCATCAGCTCTCATCTCTGAAGAGGATTTAAAGGGAGTCTGAGCCTCACAGAAGGCACATAAGGAGTTGTAGCCACTGTGACCAGACCAAGCTCAACTTGAGCTCTGTTGCATTACTCCAACAGCCTGAACACTAACCTCAGAATACAAATTTTTAAAGTAGGAGTGCAATTTTCTCCCCACATATGTTGCCGCTTTGGTTGGCATCTGTCAGCATCCCTTGCTGCAACCGGCAAGATGTCTCCACACCCACAGAGTCCACGGAAGCTCAGATAACTCTCAAGCATTTTACAAGTTACTGAGAAATTACCAGTTTCACTTGATATACATACATATGGCAAGTTGATGATTGCAAAATGGATTGGTCACACTGCAGAATGACTAAATGACAAAAAGACTTTGATTCTAAAAAATCATGTTCTTGCTTTTAATTTTATTCCCAATCCTCTTCTCAAAAGGCTTTTACAAAAGCAAAAGAATTAAGCAAATGTTAACCACGACATGCACCATGGGAAACTACTGGAACATAGTTAAAGGATTACATTTTAGGCGAGTTTTGCTCATCTTTACATGTATCCTTATCCAGCCATTCTTCAGTATTGTCCCTTTCTTCACGCCAACAGGGAATCAGCTATTCCCATTGAAGCCTGCCTGATCATAAGATGCTACAAATCACTTTAAGAAATAAATACATAAAATTGCAGGATAATGCTGAACATTAGTTTCTAATTCTCTCCTCAGCCACTAATTTCTCTATAGATTTTATGAGCTCAAGTAAAGTAAACAAGACTGACAGCAACACTGTTGGGCATGGATATTTCTCCTGCAGGAGTACACATTCCTCTAAACAAATACTTAAATAACACTCCATCTCTCAAGAGTCTTGAAAAAATCCCACACAAGCAGCAGTCTGGTACATTTGACATGTGCTCTTTGGGCTTCAGAGAGATGCTTTTTTAAGTCCTTCTGCCTTGGAACTATCTCAAGAGACTTGTTTTAATCCAACAACATAAACTGTCCTACAAAGCAATACTAGATGCAATTAAGTCACTTCCAGACCTGTCACACAGACCTTTTCATGCCAACAGCTGATTACTTCCCTTCAGAGATATGATCTGCTTCATTAGAAAATAGCTAAGGTAAGAGTATTTTGCTGCACAGCTGAAGGCACTTGCTTTTTCCACCCCCTAGAGCTTGTCCCACACCGTACATATATATTTGATAAACATAGGGCAGCCAATCATAATTGCCTCTGACAGACCTCTAAAGAATGCGTAGAAGTGGAAACAGAAAGGCACCAGGAGTGGTATTCTACAAGATGGATTTTTCTGCAGTAAGATTATGCTCACACCCACTTCTGTGCCTGTATGCTGTTAGACACTACTGTCCATACTGGCTCTGCTCGTTGTAAAGGGCTATTTCAGTCCCACACACCTGGCAAAGGCACTAGATTGAAACCACTGAATTCATATGAAGGCCAGTGTTCAATTTCTGAAAATTTTATCCTTACAATTCACAGAAGAGGCATCTTTCTTTTAAATATGGAGATACATGCAAGAGGTCTTTCTAGCATAGAGCTGACTTCAGTTTAGGGTACAGAAGTCCGTGCATGAGTCACTGCAAGGCGGACTAAGGCTGTCTTCTCAAGATGAATTATTAAAGCTGGTGAAATATTAAAGGCAGCTTTCACCTCAAAACACATAATGTTTTCCAGCCTGTGTGCACTGCAGACTTCACTGCAAACACTATTCAACAGTGAAGCAATGTTTGTCTACTTTTAAAGATGAAAGTGGGGCTCAGAGACATGCTCAAGGAAGAAAGATGTGCTTGTGGTAGACATCCTACTTGAACACAATTAAGATCCGCAGCACAGGTTCACAGCCTTTTATGTGCCATGCCCAAAGCAGACTGGGCCATATGTTAGGATTCCAGATCAACCACATGATCCTTCCATCCAGTTCACGCCCTAGAGCTACAGGCTGGGAGCATGGTTCATCAGGGAAACTCCACCTCCCAGAGAAAGTATTGCAACCCCAAATGTCTGTGCTTGACAGTCAAGAGTGAATGTTGTTACCTTGCAACTACTGTGGGTGCACTAAGTACTGCTTTAGGAACTCAGGAACAAAACTCATCAGCCCAAGTTACTGCTTAACTCCAAGAGGTTTTTCAATTTGCTGAGGAAATAACCCAAGAGGCCACAGCGCTGTGATAGGGCAGAGTTGTTGGCTTTTTCACATAAAAGAGAAAAAAGGATCACAGTTGTCACTACTTTCCTGGTAGCCCAGCACAGGAAATTTGACCTTCTATATGGGTTATGAAACAGGCCTTCTACCAGAGCATTAAAAAACTGAATGAAGAATTATAACCACATAAACTCTGGTTTTCTCAAAAAAATAAAAAGTATCTGAAATGTAATAAGCAAACATTTTGTTCCCAGTACCAAGAACATCTGAAGGACATACTTTAGAAACCACACACCTGATCGCTGTTCAACAGTGGTCACACAGCCACAGACTACGTTCTGCCCAGTAAGCTACCCTCAATATTTAAAAATGAGCAATAGTTTTAACATTTAGGGAAGAGAGAACACATTGAAGGTGGATGAGAGGCTGCACACTCCTGTGCCTTGCTCCAGTGTTCAACTGAAAATTTACAGGTGTCCCTACAAAAACATAATAGGAACCTAACCTCAAGAGCTTCACTTTGGAGCCCTGACAACCCAATGCACATATGGAGTGCCCCTGGAAACACTTTTCTTTCCCTCCTTAGGGAGGACCTGAAAGCTGAGTTGTGTTCTTATCAGAGTACAGGCTGCAGCAGTTTTTGCTTAATTTGGTGATTGAAACAACACTTGAGGGCTTTCTGAGGAGAGAGAGATGATGGGGAGCAGGAGGAGGTGGAGACATCTGGAAGGCTGGATGCTGTTGATATCATTTTTTGGCTATTAACACAGCAGCATTTTGCCTTATGAAGCTAAAAGCTGGACTAGAGACCAAGAGCTGAGACCACAGTTTGCTGTTCTCCACCAATACTTGACTGTAACTGCAAATGCTTAGGACTCAGCAGCAGCTGAGGGAATTGAAGTCCTTGCACTGCTTTTGGTGTTACTGAGTTCAAGGAAAATAGAAGTGAATCCCAGTGGAGGGCTGTAACATGTTCTTCCTGCAACAACTAGTTATTAAGGTAACTAGTTGGATTTGCTATCCTAATCCTTCCAGTCTATCTTCTTACACTTCTACTAACAATCTTGTGACATTTGTAGATAGAGACTTCTCAGCTGTGCTGTTAGCAAATCCCATTGCTGCTGTACTCCAGTTCCTGCAGTTGCAGAGCTGGCTAGCATGGAGAGCCCACTACATGTGAATAAATATCCCAGTTATTGCTGCCATACAGGTTTTTCCTGGACCAAAGGCAGCTGACTAGGTGTGTACATAAGTGCTTGATACAGAGTCCCAAAGTGCATCGCAGATTCTGGCTGAAATATCTAGCTTACTTGGATTTGTTTCACATCACATTATGTGCATAAATACATATGTATATATGTGGAAATTCACACCCTGATCTCTGCACTCAAATACATATTACCCCAGTCTTCTATTGTGTTTCCTTGTACTTTAGGAAAAAGCAGAAGTGATCAGAACATGGGAAAAGTTCATGGGAAAACAGAAAACTGGATAATATACAACTCAGCTCTAATACTTTATGGGTTACATCACTAGTAGAGACATTGGATATTCTGAGTATTAGACAACTAGGAAATACCACATTACTGTATTTATTCAAATCTTACAAGCTAGTAGGCAACAAGCCTTTCAAA